CACATCCTGACAGCCAATCACTGGCTATCAGGATGTGAGTGGAAGCGAGACTGGCCAATCATTGCATTTGAGCGCGCTGCCCTGGCTGTTTTTTTTTTTTGGATCACGCTGCAGAGTCCCTGCCGCCCGAGAGGAGGGAGGGGAGCGGGCGCCCGGCACACAAGAGCCACATTAAAGCATGTAAAGAGCCGCATGTGGCTCACGAGCCGCGGCTTGCCGACCACTGATCTAGACCAATAAACACTCTCAGAAAAGAGCTCTCACATGGTAGTAATGATTGAATAAAAGGGCAAAAACCTTAGCGTTCTGTTATTCTACCAGTTCTAAAATTCTCCTATGTAAGTTATGTGACCAGTGCTACTGGTCAAAACAGCCTCAGTCAAAGGGGTTAGAGAGTTCAAAGTTAAGGAAAAAAACTGGCCAACCAATGACTCCCACTTGAACATCCCCCTCTTTGTTAGAGACCATGCCATAGAAATAGTTGCATTCGGCACCAGTGAGACTTATAGTAGAAGAAAATAAAATGGTTCTAAAGGCTGAGAGTTTTTACCTTCTTTTAGCATTCAATGCATCAAGGTAAAAAACCTTCAGTGTGCAGCAACAACCGCCCCCCCCCCCCCCCAATACCCACATGAGCCTGATTCAGTAATGTGCATGAGAGCAAAAGCTCTCCCGGGCCTCTCTCTCCTTCCTCATTGGCTGAGACAAAGCAGTGGGAGCCACTAGCTCCTGCTGCTGTCAATCACAGCCAGTGAGAAGGGAGTGGGGGGGAAGGGGGGGGGGGGTGCCGAGCCGTGCTCTGTATGCCTCACAAACACAGAGGCAGCTCGGGAGCTAGCACACATGGGTGCCTCCAGAGCAAGCAGCTTGATCTGAAGACACTCAGCAGGGGGGAGGGGCCTGGAGCACCAGCCAGGGACCTGAGAAGAGGAGGATCAGGGCTGCTCTGTGCAAAACCTTGGCACAGAGCAGGTAAGGGAGGGAGTCAGCATCGGGTGAAGACTTTGGTTTAGGGGCCAGCAGTGGTGCAGCGATCGACTTTCCATTTACTTCAGAGGACACATTTAAGAAAAATAAAGGCTTATCAAAAAAACAGTCTCTGTGTTTTTATTTATTGACACATTTTGTGGAGAAATGTGGACACCCATGTCATTTTTTTTTAATCCATACCCAAAGGGCCTGCTATGGATTAGAGGGGGATGTCAATGCTTTTTTTTTCCTCAAAAATTTGAATTGCCTGAAATCCTTTTCTCATCTGTTTGAGTCATCTGTTGTTAAGGACATGGAGGCCTGCTCCTTAACCATTTGCCCTATAGAGGATTTACAACCCCCCCCCCCCCCCCCCCCCCAATGACCAGGCCTCTTTTTGCTACTCGGTGCTGCACTAATTCAACTGATAGCTGACCGATCATGCAATGCTGTACCCAAACGAAATTTACTTCCTTTTTTCACACAAATAGAGCTTTCTTTTTGTGGTATTTGATCACCTGTGCGCCTTTTATTTTTTGCGCTATAAACAAAAAGACCAAAAATTTTTAAGAAAAACAATATTTTTTACTTTCGGCTATAAAAAATATATAGTATACTCAAAGTTAGTTATAAATTTAGGCCAAAATGTATTCTGCTACATGTTTTTGGTAAAAAAAAATCCAAATAAGTGTATATTGATTGCTTTGTGTGACAGTTATAGCGTCTACGAACTATGGTATAGATAATGAAATTTACACCATTTTTTTGCTATACAGCGCTGCAGTAGTTTAACTGACAATTGCGTGGTCATGCAAAACGGTACATAAATAAAATTTGTCCTTTTTTCACACAAATAGAGCTTTCTTTTGGTGGCATTTGATCACCTGTGCACTTTTTATTTTTGGCGCTATAAACAAAAAATTTTTGATTTTTTTTTTTTATTTTCTCATTTGTCACAAAAAATATCCAAAAAACTAAAATGTCATCATAAATTTAGACCAAATTTAATTCTGCTACATGTTTTTGGTTAAAAAAAAAACTCCTAATAAATGTATACTTGCTTGCTTTGTGTGAAAGTTATAGCATCTACAATCTATGGAATAAATAATGAAATTTACACAGCTTTTAATTTCTGCCTGCCCATCACATTTCTTGAGATGCTAAAATACAAGGATAGTACAAACACCCCCAAATGACCCCTTTTTGGAAAGTAGACACCCTAAGATATCTACTGAGAAATATATTGAGTTCATGGAAGATTTATTTTTTTTTTCTACAAGTTTTTGGAAAACGACAAAAACTATTTTTTTCCCACAAAGTTGTCATTTAAATGATATATTTCTCACACAAGCCATGGGTATATGTGGAATTACACCCCAAAATACATTCTGCTACTTCTACCGAGTAAGGGGATACCACATGTGTGAGACTTTTTGGGAGCCTAGCCACATACAGGAGCCTGAAATCCAATAATCACTTTGAAAGCTACTTACACTTTTTTTTACTTTTAATGCACAAAAACAAAATATATTGGCCAATCATTTGGTAAAATATAAAAGATGATGTTATGCCGAGTAAATAGATACCAAACATGACATGCTTTAAAACTGCACATGCCCCATGCAATGGCGACAAACTGCATACGTTTTTAATATCCATAGGCAACGGTTTAAAAAGCTACCATTTTAGATTTACAGGAGGTCTAGTGCTAGAATTACTGCCTTGATCTGATGTTCATGGAGATACCCCACATGCATTGTGCAACCGCTGTTTACATACCGGCACAGGGTCAACGCTCGTGCACGCAGGAGTGCATGCGCAGGGGGGCGTGGGTGTTTTTTTTTTTTTCTTTTTTATCTGTTAGTTATTTAGATTTTTTTTTATTATTTCTACACTGTCCCTTTCATTTTTTTTTTTTTATTATTTATTTCAGGTACTTGTATAGCGCCGTCAATTTATGCAGCGCTTTACATATATATTGTACATTCACATCAGTCCCTAACCCTCAAGGGGTGTACAATCTAAGGTCCCTAACTTACATTCATACATACACATACGTACTAGGGACAATTTAGACAGGAGCCAATTAACTTAACAGCTTGTCTTTGGAGTGTGGGAGGAAACCGGAGCACCCGGAGGAAACCCACGTAGACACAGGGAGAACATGCAAACTCCAAGCAGGAGGTGCCGTTGCTGGGATTCGAACCAACGACCCTAGTACTGCCAGGCGGAAGTGCTAACCATTTAGCCACTGTGCTGCCCCATTATCACTTTTAATGCTATCAAAGATACTGCAAATATCCCCTATAACTTCAATGGGCATTGTCAAATATTCTTTTTTGAGAAATCTGGGGTCTATCAGACTCTAGATATCTCCTCTACCCTTACATCATCTAATCAAACCAAGATCGGTGTGATCAGATGCTTTCCAAATTTACAAATGGAACTCTTTATAAGAATTAGCTGGATTGCTTTTATAAGCAGCGGGAGATGATGCCCCCCCCCCCCCCCCCCGGCCTTCTCGGGCAGTCCCGTACCATTGGGGGACCCTGAGAATGCATCCGGTGTTTCTGCCAGCTGACCATAGAGCTGATTGGAGACCAGAATGGTGCCAATCATCTCTATAGGCTAAAAAATTGGAATCTACAAGCATTTCATCACTTCAGTTTTGCAGGAGCAATCAAGGGGTTAAATGCGATTACTGGCGTACTGACGGGCAATCGGACGCTATCTGGGAGGGGCTTGAAAACCACGGGAGCGTGAATCACGTATATATACGTGATTTTGCACATCCGTGCCGCCCTGTAGCAGTATTTTTGCTATAGGGAGGTCAGGAAGCGGTTTGTGTTACGGCACTGCGTTATTTTAACTGACAATTAATCGGTCATGCAACGCTGCACCAAAATGAAATTTACGTCCTCTTTTCCCCACGAATTGAGCTTTCTTTTGGTGGTATTTGATTGCCTGTGTGTTTATTTTTTGCGCAATGAAAAAGACTGAAAATTTTGAGAAAAAAACAATACTTTAAACTTTTTGCTATAAAACCTGTCCAGTAAAAAAATTAAAAAAACCAACTTAGTCATATATTTAGGCCAAAATGTGCTTTGCGACATGTCTTTGCTAGAAAAAAAATCCCTATATGTGTAAATTAATTGGTTTACATGAAAGTTATAGCGTTTAAAAATGGCGTAATAGATACTGTTTTTTTTTTTTTAATACTAATAGTAGCGGCGATCAGCGGCTTTTGGTGGGACTGCGGCGGACATTCTGACATGGGGGGGGACGACTAACTTGGGGTCACTGACATCCCCAGTGACACCAATACATTGATCAGTGCTAAAAAAAAAAAAAGCACTGACACTGTACTAATGGCACTGGGGAGAAAGGGGTTAAGCGATCAAAGGGTTAACCGTGTGATGGGAGTGTTTTACTAGGGGGCACACTGATCGGACAGCTGTGGTCAGCTATCCCGAGTAGTGTGCCCAAATTGAAAGGGAGGAGAGCTGCATTGTTAACAATGCGGCCGTCCTCCCTGTCAGTGTTTGCTGGCAATCACCGGGCTCCGGCGGGTAATAACCCGTCGTCAGGACCCGGTGATTGACTCCCGGGGCCACATTCGGCGGCGTGGGTAGGGCGGGCGCGCGCCCCCTACCTGGAAATGCAGGATCACGTTTATATATACGGGATCATGCGCACAGAGTCTGCCTTGTCGCATTATATGTACTATGGGCGGTCATAAACCAGCTTTTCATAAAAAATAAATAAAATGCTGGAACCGGTATTTAGGAGCGCTGCACGCAGCATTTTTTTCTGCTGGCAAATCGCTCCCAAAAACACAAAAAAAAAAGTGTTTTTCTTCCTAAAAGCAGAAGCCTACAATAGTGTGCAAGGGCACAAAGGATAACACTATTTGCTTCTAAATGCCAAAACAAAATGCTCATAACAAGCTGCTGGAGCTTAAAAATAGGCTAGTGTGCATGAAGCCTTAAAGGAAACCTTTACCAATGCTTAAATTACACACTGATATTTACGTTTACATCCTTTTCTTTGTCTTTTTCTTCTTCATCCTTTTTCTTTTCTTTACTTGCATCAGGAACATCTGTCTTCTCTTTTGATTTTGATCTAAAAAAAAAACCAGAATAGCTTTTTAGGGCTTGCTCACACCACAGTGCAGATATCATTGCATATTACATAGTTAGCATGGTTGAAAAGAGCCATCTAGTTCAACCAATAAAAAGGAAGGGGAAAAAAAATGTATACAATCCATATACACAATTTTATACCCACAGCTGATCCATAGGAAGGCAAAAAAAAATATTTTTTTCTACATACCTGTAAAATCCATTTCTTGGAGTACATCACAGGACACAGAGCAGGCCATAATAATGATTATGTGGGTTATATTGTGTAAATGTAGAGTGCTGCGCTATAAGCTAACAAGAGCAAATAGTTGCATTATTCTCCAGGCAGTGCTTAAGACTTTTCCATATTATGTGGGTTATATGCTACCTATAGGTGAATGGAAACTGGCCAATCAAACAGGACGTCCTTCCCATATTACCCTCCTACACTGTTAGTACTCAGTTTTTGTAGCAAGCAATGAGGGGGGGAGAGAGGGAGAGGAGGAGAGAGGAGGGGGGAGGGGAGAGGGAGAAAGGGGGGGAGGGAGAGGGAGAAAGGGGGGAGGGAGAGGGGGAGAAAGGGGGGAGGGAGTGAGGGAATGAGAAGGGGGGGGGGGGTGAGAGAGAGAAAGGGGGGGAGGGAGATGAGAGTGGTAGAGAAGGGGGGGGGGAGAGAGAGAAGGGGGGGGGTGAGAGAGAAGGGGGGGAGAGAGAGTGAGAGAGCTGAGAGGAGAAGGGGGGGAGAGAGAGAGAGAGAGAGAGAGAAGGGGGGGGGTAGAGAGAGAGAGAGAAAAGGGGGAGGGGGGGGAGAGAGAGAGAGTTGAGAGAGAGGGAAAGGGGGGGGGAGAGAGAGAGAGAGAAAAGGGGGTTAGGGGGGTTAGATGAGAGAGAGAGAGAGAGAGAGAGAGAGAGAGAGAGAGAGATGATGAAGGGGGGAGGGAGATGTAGAGTGAGAGAGAGATAAGGAGGGGGGAGGGAGAGAGGAGAGAGAGAGAAGAGGGAGATGAGGAGAGAATAAGGGAAGGAAAAGGAGATAGAAGAGAGAGGGGAAGAAGTAAGAAAAGGGGGAGGGGGATGAGATAGAGAGAAAAGGGGGACGGGAGAGAAGAGAAAAAGATAAAGGAGGGATGGAGAGAAAAGGGGGAAAAGTAGAGAGAGAAAAGGTATGGGGGGAGGAGAGAGAGAAAAGGGGGAGGGAGAGGGAAGAGAAAGAAAAAAGGGGGGGAGAGAGAAGAAAAAGTAAGACGAGAGGAGAGAAGGGGAGATTAGATGGGGAAGATGAAATAAGAAGAGAGAGAAAAAGGGGGAGAAAGGGGGGGGAGAAGAGAAGGGGGGGAGGGAGAGAAGAATACGGTATGAGAGAATCGAGAAGGGTGGGGGGGGAGAGAGAGAAGGGGGGGGGAGAGAAAGGAGGGGAGGGGGGGAGAGGAGAGGGGGGGGGTGTAGAAAGAGAAGAAAAGAAAAGAAAGATATGAGGGGAGGGGTAGAGAGAAAAGAAGGGGAAGGAGGGGGAGGGGAGGAAAGGAGGGGGAAGGAAGATGGGGGGGGAGAAAGGGAAGGGGGGGGGGGAGAGAGTGGAGGGGGGGGGGGATGGAATTGGGAGGATGGGGGGGAGGGGGGAAACAGATAGATGAGGGAAGAAATAAGGTGAGGAAATTTGGGGGGAGGAGAGAGAAGGGGGTGGGAAGTGGGGGGGAAGAGAGAAGAGGGGGGAGAGAGAGGGGTGGAAGGAGGGGGAAGAAAGAAGATGAGGGGAGGGAGAGAGAAGAAGAAGGGGGGGGGAGAGAGAGAAGGGGGAGAAAGGGGGGATGGGAAGAGGGGAGGGATGGGAAGAGGGAGAGAGAGAGGTGAAATGGAGAGAGAGGAGAGGGAAAGAGAGATAGAAGGGCTGAGGTGGGGAAAGAGGAGGGAAGGGGGAAGAAAGAAAGGGGGGGGGGAGAGAGAGAAGGAGGGGTGAGAAAGAGGGAGGAGGGGGGGAGAGGAGAAGGGGGGGGGGAGAAGAAGGGGGGGGGGAGAGAGATTAAGGGAAAGGAGAGGTGAGGGGGGGGGGGATGAGGGGGGAGGGAGAGGGGAGGAAAGGGGGAGGAGAGGGGAAGAGAGAGGGGGCAGAGAGCAAGGGAGGAGAAGAGGGGGGCAATGAGGGGAGGGGAAGAGAGAAGAGGGAGAAAGGAGGGAGGAAGAGGGGGAGGAGAGAGGAGGGGGAGGAGGGGGGGGAGAGAGAGGTGGGGGAGAGGAAGGGAGGAGAGAGGAGGAAGGGGAGAGGGAGGGAGGAGAGAGAAAAGAGGGAGGAGGGGAGAGGGGGGGGGAGAGAGGAGAGAAGGAAGGAGGGGAGGGGGGAAGAGGAGATGGGGGGGGGAGGGGGAAGGAGGATTGGAGAGGGGGGAGAGGGGAGGGGGGGGGGGGAGAAGAGGGGAGAGAGAAGGGGGGAAGAGTGGGGGGAGAAGGGAGGGTGGAGGAGGGGGGGAGAGGGGAGGGGGGAAAGAGGGGAGGAGGGGGGAGAGAGGGAGAGGGGGGGAAGCTGAGGGAGGGGGGGGGAGGGGGGGGGGAAGGAAGGGGGGGGAAGGGGGGGGAGAAGGAGGGGGAAGGGGGGGGGGAAGGAGAAGGGGGGGAAGGGGATGAGGGGGGATGGAGGGGGGGAGAAGGGAGGGGGGGGAGGAGGGAGGGGGGAGAGAGGGGGGGAGAAGGGGGGGAGAGGAGAGGGGAGGGAGGGGGGGGAGAATGGGGGGGATGAGAGAGGGGGGAGAGAGAGGGGGGAGAGATGAGGGGGGGAGAGGGGGGGGAGAGGGGGGGGGATGCAGGGAGGGGGAGGGTGAGATATTGTCAGGTTTTAATCTCACTTTTAAATTTTATTGAGGATTTCCTCTCTTCAGCAAAAATCCCTTTCAAGTTTACCATTTAAAATCACAACACGTAGATACATTATCTATATTACACAGGGGACCCCCAAACCGCTTGTCTCAAAAAAAAAAAAAAAAAAAACATATATCACTTTCAAGAAAATACCTTATTTCTCTTTTCTTAGCTTTGCTTGGACTAGCAGAGCGTGATCGCCACTGCGGCTTTTGCTCCTAGAGCGCCTTCTTTCACGACCCCTTCGGGATCTTCTTCGCTCTCTACTACGCTCCCTTTCTCTGCTTGGTCTGCGGCTATAAGTAAAACACAAAAAAAAATAAACATAAATTAAAATATGAACAGAATTCACACACTGTAGGAGAGTGGACTGTGGCCTAGAGACCCCAGCAGGCCTCTGAAGGAGCAACATCCAGTTGGTTGCAGGATTTTACCAGGTACAGAAGAGCAAAAGGGCCCCAGGGCAGCCATGCCATTGAGATGGAGCAAAGAGTTCAATGAGGCTGTTTACACACAGGGAAAGATTGCGAGGGGGGGCAACAGCACTAAATAGGCTAGCCACAGTCCATTCCCCTCCCACCTAAGAAGAAGTTTCAAATTGTGAACCTACCTGGCTAGAGGAAATAAAAAAAAACTGACCTGCAGTCTTGTGGGAACCCCTTTTAGGGGCTTCACCTTAAAGTATTAAAATCAACAGTAAAATCAGTCTGTATATGCAGTAAAAGCATGCTTGTTATACTCACTGTGGAACCCAAGGGACAATCCTCTGCATTTTGTTAAAAGGCTATTTGTTCCTTTCTTCTCTGCCCCTTCTCTTGTTGAAATGACCACCTGATATAGACTGAATCCGTAGTCACATGCTCAGTTTGGTGTGTATTGCTAGAGAGGTTCTTTTTTTTCTTGGGAGAGTGCATGTGATCAGCACAGGGCCAATTAGTACTGTCCAAACAGAGGGTCAGAGGTTTCACATCCTCCAAGAGCAGAAAGAAAATCCTCCTACAAGCTTTAACCAGTGCTCTGCTGAAGTCACAATACTGCTCTAACTGCTGATGAGAAAAGGTATTAAGCAGTTTAGATTTACTAAAATAATTGCATGTTTTGTGTACTGTGGGAGACCAGATATAGTGAATGCAGGGGGTCCTAGGTTTAGTATCACTTTAAGTGCTTTCTGGTTTAGGTGGGAGGAGCCTTGGAATCACCTTGGGAAAACAAACGTTCAGAAACCATGTACCGAATTGGCAAAAATTTATTAGGCCACCCCTTGCAACCTCTCTGCAGTCTTACTACATTATATACATTCTGTACACACAAGACAAGACAGACACACACAAGACAGACCCAAAAGTGTATTAGTCATAACATAAATTATATTTTTTTTTTCGTTGAATCTTTGCAGTTGTAATTGAATTTGGAATATGTCAACTCTCCTGCTGTCACACAAAAAAAAAGCCAAATTATTCTCATTATTAAACATTTGTTTAAGACTCCAAGATGGTAGCAAAGAGAGACTTAAACTCTTGCCAATTAAATGGTAAAGTAGGAGAGGTAAAAAAAAAAAACCCCTTCTTTCTCTCAAGCCTGCAAATTTTGTGTTAAGGGTCTATGAAGAAAAGGTCACATACACAAAATGACACAGCTGGCCTTGACTCAATGGATAATGAAAGAACAGCCTGAAAGACCTTGCTAATGCTCAAGTCCTTGGAAAAGGTCTTCCACTGATCTGTGCCCACAAGTGGGAACTATAGAATGTATAGGGAAGGCAAAAGGATGGCAGATAAGCTTACCTTTAAGGTAACCACAAACATCAGATGATTATTGGACATTCCATCAGCTGCAAAATCCTCTCATTATAAATGTGTAAAAGTTGGGAAGAGGGTCATACATCTATTGTACTGACAACAAGCGCTGGTCAAAAATACTCAACTTGGCAGATCGCCATTTTCTTTGCTGGATCCCCAGCCATGCTACCTGCATCCATGGACAGAGAGAACTCTTCAGCTGTGTCTCCTCACAGGATTTGACTGACAGCAGCGGAAGCTAATAGATCCCACTGTCTCAGAAAAGCATGTGAGAAAGGGCACAGCACTGGTTCGAGTGAGGGCTCAGGTAAATATAAGGGGGAAGGGGGGTGATACAGGTACTGGAACATTTACTTTAATACAGGGAATGCATTAAGGTAAAAGAAAAAAAAAGTTTCGGCCTTATAACCACTTTAATGTCTAGGTTAATTTTGCACATACATACACACACACAAAAAAAACAATTGTTCTCTATGTGCCTTACTCCCACTGCAATGAAGCCGTGAGGTGTGGCACAGTGAAATGCGATAAAATGCTCAATGGTCACCTTGTGGTATAAAAAAAACAAAAAAAAAAAAAAAAGTACAGTCTATTATTCGGGCTTATTCCTAGAGGCTGCCCGGAGCAGTAAAAACAGGCAGATGTGCCAGTTTTCCAGGCCCTCTAACTGCCCACCTAAACACAGACATTCAGCTGCTCAGGGATGTACACCCGCCATGGCCAATGGATTGGCATTTTGAAAGTTAAAACAGGGGGTGGGGTCATGACATATCACCTCCCCACTACCTCTCAAAAGCATTGCAAAATGCAGTATTAGCTCCTTCACCTTTAGTGTCTGGACAGCCTCTGCTGGAGGGAACCGTCATTAAGGCACCAGCTACCCCTTCCCCTGCGCTGAAAACGAGGCTTGGAACCAGAGGCTCCGGCACCTGGAAAAGATGTCACCACACCCAATATAATGCCCCTGCATTATCTGGTCAAACAGGAAAACAGCCAGGCCACAAACCAATGCAGCTACCACATGCGTCCCCACCACAGTGTCCTACAGTGCACGCATCCGGAAACCATGCCGGTCCCTGTCAATGTGGTGTGTTCCTTCCAGACATGGCCTTCCCCAGGCACAGAAGGAGAAAGGGAACCAATCTACCTCCTTCCAATACTGAGGAGTGGTCCTGGAGGGCAATCTTGCAGTAATCCTACTAGCTGCTCCCAGTGGAGCAAAGTAGGTAAAAGTAAAGTGGGTGGATGAAAAGGATAGCCAGAGAAACAGAGGCCTCCTTCATCCAGGTTCAAAGAGATGCATTTCCTCCATGTGGAGGAAACAAAAAAAAAAATTGACCAGTTCAGCAGAGGGACCTCCTTTTAAAGGACATTGTTCCTGTTGGAGGAGGTGCCTATATCTCATGGGCTGTCCTGATGATTTGGGAAAATAGATTACCACAGATCACTTTTCATGGGGGCAGCAACAGCTGCACATGAACACTTAGAAAGAACAATAACCTACCAGGGCGCTTTCTATCTCTGGATCGTGATCTTCTACGATCTCTGCTGCGTGATCTTTCCCTTCTACGATCTCTGTCACGCTCCCGACTTCGGGATCGGCGGTCATCTCTTTTAGATCTCTTATCAGGTGGTGAACGGCTTTTTGACCTGCTGCCAGATCGGCCACGTGATGATGAGCGTTTTCGGTAATGTCTAAAAACGTAGAAGAAACATAAATTAAGTCTAATATCAGAATTCAATCGAATGAACCTAAAATTAAGACCTCCAGCATGTATCAGAATTCACCAATACTGATATGATATAAGCCAGATCTAGAATTAAATACAGAAATAAGCTACATCTAGAATTAAATACAAAAAGGGAGGTATGTTTTTATTCTTTTTGATCACATCAATGGCCTACATGTTGCATTAATTAAGTGTTTCTCAACTCCAGTCCTCATGGACCCCCAACAGGTCATGTTTTCAGGATTTTCCATTATTTTGCACAGGCGATTTGATCAGTTTCACTGCCTTAGTAATTACCACAGCTGTTTCATCTGAGGGAAATCCTGAAAACATGACCTGTTGGGGATCCATGAGGACTGGAGTTGAGAAACACTGCATTAATTCATTGTATCAAACAGATCCTACAACTTCAGTTTTCTCCAATTTAAAGGCTAACTTGGACTTTTACAAAAAAACATTTTTCAAATGAGATTACAAAGCATTGCAACCACGATCACTGTATTCTAGACTCTTCCCTCATTTAATAAGGTACAGACTTTCAGTTAGAGAGCTGTAGGAATTACCGCAGCCATATTCCACTAAGAACTACAAGTCCATCTGCCACATGGTAGACGGAATTTGTAGTTGATTCTAGGCTGAAACAATGATTATTTTCATAATTGATTAGTTTGCCAATTATTGTTTTGATTAATCAGATAAAAAAAAAAAGTTTAGTTATTTAATTTATTCTTGAATATTTATATGCACCTGCTGTCACTTGTGTATGCTGGCCATACACTAGCAATTTTTCCAAAAACGTTCCTTTTAACCACTAGGGGACCGCCCACAGTACATATACTGCTACAAGCCGGCCCCTGTGCGTAGGATCACATATATAAACATAATCCTGCATTTAGGGGTAGGGGGGCGCGCGCGAGACCGCCCTAACCACTTTACCGATTGCGGCTGCGGGTATCAATCACCGGGTCCCAGCTGGTAATTACACGACGGAACCCGGCGATTGCCGCAAACACTGAAGGGGAGGAAGGCTGCATTCTTTTCATGGTGCTCTCCTCCCTGTCAGTTTTCAAACACTGTTTCGGATCGCTGAGCACAGCCTTCCAGAACAGTGTGTAACAGTGAAGTACACTTGTAGATGCTATAACTTTCACATAAAGCAATCAATATACACTGGGATTTTTTTAACCAAAAACATGTAGCAGAATACATTTTGGCCTAAATTTATGACGAAATTTTCGTTTTTTTTGGATATTTTTTGTGGCAGATATGAGAAAATATCATTTTGATTTTTTTAAATTTTTTCTCTAAAAAATAATTTTGTTTATAGCGCCAAAAATAAAAAGCGCACAGGTGATCAAATACCACCAAAAGAAAGCTCTATTTGTGTGAAAAAAAGGATGTAAATTTCGTTTGGGTACAGCATTGCATGACCGCGCAATTATCAGTGTTGAATTATTGAATTAGTGAACCGCCACGTAGCAAAAAGAGGCCTGCTTATTAAGGGGGGTAAATCCTCTAGAGCAGCGGTTCTCAACCTGGGGGGTCGCAACCCCTTTGGGGGTGTCAAACGACCATTTCCCAGGGGTCGCCTAAGACCATCGGAAAACACATATTTCCGATGGTCTTAGGAACCGAGACACCGCTCCTCTGACTCAGTCGATGTGTGGGCGGGATGATACGCTGCCCCTGTCACCTGGCCACACCTCCGGGATCACTCAACAGCTCCGCCTCTTCGTCGCTGATTGGCCACCGGAACTGTAGCTCAGGAGAGGAACACAGGCGGCCAATCACCGGCGAGGAGGTGGAGCTTGGAGAGGAGGAGCCGAGCGGCAGCGCGCGTAGATCTAAGAAGATCGAGGGAGCTGCCGGAGTAAGTGAAGAGGAGAGCGGCCAGAGAAGGAAGACAGCTGACAGGTAAGTGAGAGAGCGAGCCCAGGCTGGAGCAGGGGTCAGCAAGGTAAGTATCATTGGTGTCAGTGGGGGGAATAGTGCCCCATCATTTGTGTCACTAATACCAACGATGGGGCACTATTTCTCCCACTGACACCAACGATGGGGCACTATTCCTCCCCCCACTGACACCAACAATGGGGCACTATTCCTCCCCCCACCGACACCAACGATGGGGCACTATTCCTCCCCCCACCGACACCAACGATGGGATACTATTTCCCCCCCCCCCCGACCCCAACGATGGGGGCACTATTTCCCCCCTCCACCACACTGACATCAATGATGGGGCACTATTCCTCCCCCCAGACACCAATGATGGGGCACTATTCCCCCCACTGACACCAATGATGGGGCACTATTCCTCCCACTGACACCCAATGATGGGGGCACTATTCCTCCCACTGACACCAATGATGGGGGCACTATTCTCCCACTGACACCAATGATGGGGCACTATTCCTCCACTGACACCAATGATGGGGCACTATTCCTCCACTGACACCAATGATGGGGCACTATTCCTCCCACTGACACCAATGATGGGGCACTATTCCTCCCACTGACACCAATGATGGGGCACTATTCCTCCCACTGACACAATGATGGGGCACTATTCCCCCCCACTGACACCAATGATGGGGCACTATTCCCCCACTGACACCAATGATGGGGCACTATTCCTCCCACTGACACCAATGATGGGGCACTATTCCCCCCACTGACACCAATGATGGGGCACTATTCCCCCCACTGACACCAATGATGGGGCACTATTCCCCCCACTGACACCAATGATGGGGCACTATTCCCCCCCACTGACACCAATCGGATGGGGCACTATTCCCCCACTGACACCAATGATGGGGCACTATTCCCCCACACTGACACCAATGATGGGGCACTATCCCCCCACTGACACCAATGATGGGGCACTATTCCCCCCACTGACACCAATGATGGGGCACTATTCCCCCCCCACTGACCCAATGATATGGGCACTATTCCCCCCACTGACACCAATGGGGGCACTATTCCCCCCCCCACTGACACCAATGATGGGGGCCACTTTTTCTATTCCCCCCACTGACACCAATGATGGGGCTCTATTCCCCCACACTGATGGGGCCACACCAATGATGGGGCTCTATTCCCCCCACTGACACCAATGATGGGGCACTATTCCCCCCACTGACACCAATGATGGGGCACTATTCCCCCCACTGACACCCAATGATGGGGCACTATTCCCCCCACTGACACCAATGATGGGGCACTATTCCCCCCACTGACACCAATGATGGGGCACTATTCCCCCCACTGACACCAATGATGGGGCACTATTCCCCCACTGACACCAATGATGGGGCACTATTCCCCCACTGACACCATTCCTCCATGATGGGGCACTATTCCCCCCACCGCCCACTGACACCAATTGACGGTGGCACTATTCCTCCCACTGACACCAATGACGGGGCACTTATTCCTCCACTGACACCAATGACGGGGCACTATTCCTCCCCATGACACTGACAATATTCCAATGACGGGGCACTATTCCTCCCACTGACACCAATGACGGGGCACTATTCCTCCCACTGACACCAACGACGGGGCACTATTCCCCCCACCACTGGACTACCAACGATGGGGCACTATTCCTCCCACTGACACAACGACGGGGGCACTATTCCTCCCACTGACACCAACGACGGGGCACTATTTCCTCCCACTGACACCAACGACGGCACTATTCCTCACAGACCACCCTTCGGGGCACTATTCCTCACCACTTTCACTCGACGGAAGGCACTATTCATCCACTGACACCAACGATGGGGCACTATTCCTCCCACTGACACCAACGACGGGGCACTATTCCTCCCACTGACACCAACGACGGGGCACTATTCCTCCCACTGACACCAACGACGGGGCACTATTCCTCCCACTGACACCAACGATGGGGCACTATTCCTCCCACTGACACCAACGATGGGGCACTATTCCTCCCACTGACACCAACGATGGGGACACTATTCATCCCACTGACATCAGTGATGGGGCACTACTCCTTCCACTGACACAATGATGTGGCACTAGTCCTCCCACTGCAAAATTTACAGTTATGAAGTAGCAACGAAAATAATTTTATGGTTGGGGGTCACCACAACATGAGGAATTGTATTAAGGGGTCGCGGCATTAGAAAGGTTGAGAACCACTGATCTAGAGGGCAAGTGGGTTAAAGAATGTTTGTTTGTTTTTCTAATCGTTAGTGGGTTCACATAAACATTGGTTTTCTACCACAGTGACAGGAAAATTAGAATGAACAGAATGGAAAATTTTTCTCAATTGAACAAATTTTCGGACAGTGCATGTGGTTTACGTTGAGAAATTACATTCATTTTAACATTGAATGTTATAAGCAAGTGAAATTTTCATATTACAGTTGTCCATTCGTCGTCGAATGTACAAAGCATTTTTGTACAAACATTCTCGTCCGAAAATCAATACGTGTATGGCCAGCATAAGTTTTGTAGCAGCAGCATGCTTTTTTTAATCACCTGTCACGAGGGGGTTAAAAACACAAAAATTAGCCCTTAGTTACAAAAACAGCAGATAATCGCTACCATAAACGGCTAATTTATACTGCAAAACAGTGAAAGTAATTATATATAAAAACTTATATCATTTATAATAATAAATATACCCAGATGTATGATATAAAGGGCATTTTACCTGGGAGTCAGACATGAAGCTATATGAAGGGTGGTGTAATCTTTTATATTAACCACTTGCCAACCGCGCTATAGCGAATGACGGCTACAGCATGGTTGTCCAGTTCTGTGAGGACGTCACATGATGCCCTCCCACGCACAGCCAGCAACTCAACTTTATGAGAGCTCTGTGTGACATCTCAATAAAACCAAAAATTGTTTCAAATATCTACCATAATTTTAATTTCCTGGTGCCAATTGATAACAGCATACATGTGGTAGTATGCTGCTGCCGCCGC